CCAACAATGTGAAATTTCTTTAACCACATCTAGAGTTTAGAACCTGTAACCTATAATCTGTTCCAGTTGAATATCTCTATATCAGACAGAAATGGGCCTAAACTCCTCTCATAAAAGAAATATGAGTCACATCTGTTGTTTTTTTTACATGACACACATCTTTTTATACGACATCATCTGTTTTTTTATATGATACAAATCTTTTTTTTATATATGACAAACATCAGTTTTTTATATGACAAAAATCTGTTTTTTTATATATGACACACATCTTTTTATACGACATCATCTGTTTTTTTATATGATACATCTGTTTTTTTATATGACACAAATCTGTTTTTTTATAGGACACAAATCTGTTTTTTATATGACAAAAATCTGTTTTTTTATATTATACAAAGCTATTTTTTCCGTATATGACACATTAGTTTTTTATGTGACACAAATCTGTTTTTTTATATGACACATCTGTTGTTTTTTTTATGACAAATCTATCTTTTATATATGACACATCTATTTTATCTATGACACGACAGTTTTTTTTTTAAGGGTTTAGAAAATGGTGGTATTATCATTATGAATTGATATAATTTTTTTTATTAACACACTGTAAGCTTTCAAGATTCAGTTCACAGTCACACAAAATCCAGGTGAGTTTCCTGAGTTTGATGCATCTCCAGTTTCTTCTGGAAGTTTTCCTGAAAGTTTTGGCCGGTGCTGCAGCTTTTTGGTTAAACTCAGAGTTTAATTAATCTCTGGGCCTTTTTTCTGTGGAACACTGAGTGGAAAAGAGAGATATGAGCAGCCAGAAATCCCTCTGAGGGATAGTTTGTTCTGAACTGCCTCATCTCTGTTGATCTATTAGGTTTTTTAAAAGCGTAACTTCTTTAAATGAGATCATTTAGCTTTTAATTCGATTTAAGGAGGAGCGCAATGAGTCAAACCTCCTCCCACATTAAACTCATTTCCAGACTGGAGACATCCCTCAAAATATTTCTTAAGATCATTTTCTGGGTATCAGAAGATAAAATAGGAGAGAAGGGACTCACTTGATGAAAAGCTCTTTGTGAGGAGGGAAACTTTTTTTAAAGCGAATGGCAGCTAAACTGAAACTTTTTGTTTGTTCACAGACTTGTGGACAACTTTGGCCGGACAAAATGATTGGTCGTCTTCACTTGATATACTAATATATTTATTTAAACTACCTTTTAAATCTTTCTTTTTTTGTGACACCACATTGTGGAAAGTGTAGAACTACTTATTCTAATTGGCTGGAAAACTCTGTTTGAATGCATTACCTATAGAGTTCCCATCTATCTATCTATCTATCTATCTATCTATCTATCTATCTATCTATC